GGGCTGTAAGAAGCACAAGGGAGAGTTAGAGCACCTAGCGCGGCGCTGGCCACCCCGGGCAAGCCTGCTTGTCCTGTGCAGGTGCCCCGACTCCAGGGCCTCTGGGACACCACCAGATTAGGGTTTCCTCCCCTGCCCGGGTTTGCCTCCAGACAGTGTTGCTAATGAGGCCTCGACAGCAGGTGCCAGCAAGAGTTCCCTTCCTCAGCCGACTGGTTTTCAGCCTTGCCACGATGAGCCTAATTAACGGGAGTGTACCCTTGAGAGACAGATCGGCTCTCATTCATTTTACTTGCAAAATCAGGTTTCTAATTCGGGTCACCAGATTTTTCTAACCATCGGAAATTCCCTCAGGCGATTCAGCTCAGTGATGCGGCCTCCTGGAAAGCCAGCGATTCTCTCGGCAGCGCTCAGCTCCTCTTCTGGCTGGATGTTGCAAGCATCTGATTGCCATTTCGCCTCACTCGGTCCTGCCACGGAGACCATCTCCCGGGAGCCTCTCCAGGTTTTTGTGAGTGTGCAAAACAGCTGCTACTGCTCCGATTTTAGAAATGCGGAATGGAGGTTCAAAGAGATAAAGAGACGGACCGGAGTTCTAGGCCCAAGTACTCAGACCTCTCAACATGTGCTCCTTCTGCTACAGAAAATAAGAAAACCTTGGTTTTCGTCTCGGATTGTCCGCTAACAGAAATGTCATCTTGAGATTTCCCTCCTTTTTAGATTGCAATTTCCCTATGACCTATGAGAGCCCTTCTAATACCAATGCCCTAGAATTCTAAAGTAATGGTGAAATAATCATATTAGTAGATCATGTGGGGCAGAAACTCAACCAGACCAGGAATCAACGAAAGACTATAAATACATGTAAAACAAGAACAGAAACACGTCTGCTGCACATGCCTTGCATAAAGGAGGTGGGAGGAACAGCAGAACGCAGGTCCCGAACATTTATATTCAGCAAAAAAATCCCAGGCACGCCGACAGCTGCTAAGTTTTTGTGTTTTTCCCTTGGAGTTATATCTTGGAAATTAACAAAATGCACCACTGAATACACTAACCACATTGATCAATAGAATGAATAGTCCTCAAGCAAAGGAAAGTTCAACTAAAACCTGCCCGAACGCTCCCAAAGCATTGTTTTTAAAGAACATTTTTCAATTTCTTGTCCTGTAAATGGCCTGTGTCCCGCGGCGAGGATCTCGCAGTTCCTCCGTCCTCCCTCCAGTAGTGCTCTCCTCTTCCCAGGCGCCGGGAAGTCCACAGGGCCCGTCTCTCCGTGTCGGAAACTCCTGTCTGTTCGCTCTTGGTTCACTGGTCTGGGTCCTTACTGGGCGTGTTGGAGGAGTCGGGAGAGCTTTGGCCGCCACAGCCCCCCAGCAATTTCCTAGCTTCTCACCTGGAAAGGGAACTGCGTCGCGTGGTGCAAAGCCACCCTCACTAGTGTGGGGAAGCTGCGGGGGAAGGCGGGCAGCCAGCTCACCTCAACACATCTTCCAGAATATGGTCTGGAAAATGGCCTGCCTAGTTTTTACAACTTTTCCTAATGGACTCACACCAGCCACTTGAACACTGTAGAGATTTCAAGAGAGTACAATTTCCCTGTTCCACGCCAGGCCGATGACTTCAGCTAAATGCACGCATTCGGGGCAAGATAATTGAAATGATAACACATTAATTGCACTTGTTTCAAGCCAACGTGGGAAACTCTTTGGTATCCTATGCGTTAAAATGTCATTTCTCACAGCAAGTGCGCCGCTGCAATGAAAATCAGGTGAGGACCCTCTTGTTGTAGTGGGCGAGGGAAGAAAGAGAATCATTATTCCTGGGAGGACAGATGCCTCCATATCTCTACATGAAGCAGCCTTGTCTTCTGGTAGCAGGCTTTTAGTTACATCCCAGGGAGAGAGTGACTTACATTGATTATTTACTGGTGGAATGCTGAGCGTATAAAAGAACATGATTCACTCCACCACAAAGAACAGCAGCATTACTGCCTGTTGGTGCTGGCATTTGAAGATTTCCTTCCTTCTCCTTCCCGGGATGCAAGATTCATTAAAGCATAATTTTAGGATTCTTGCTTTGGATAATCAAGACAGATTCTAAAGCATTCGTGTAATAAATGGGCCTATAGACGCTACAGAAACTAAATGAGTCCTATCACCGGATTCCACTGGTCCATCTACTTCAGTGGTTTGCTAAGAATGAAAAGCTTAACTTTGGCCTTGGTTCAAATTCATATATATCATTTAATATTTTCACTAAAACTGAACTGAACATGAACTGAGCATGTTAGCGTACCCGGAATTCTTCATTGGTCTCATCGTTATTCAAATCAGGAGAGAACTGGTTTCCACTGCATTTTATTTGGAATGAGTGACTAATAATTCATTTAAGGTAAGATTAATTGACTTACTTAAGCTAAATATGAACAAAGTAGGTACACGAAAGGAAACTAGGTGAAGATAAATTTCATTTGTCTTTTTTTTAAGATTTATTTATTTATTTGTTTATGATAGACATAGAGAGAGAAAGAGAGGCAGAAACACAGGAGGAGGGAGAAGCAGGCTCCATGCAGGGAACCTGACGTGGGACTCGATCCCGGGACTCCAGGATCGCGCCCTGGGCCAAAGGCAGGCGCTAAACCGCTGCGCCACCCAGGTATCCCTCATTTGTCTTTCATAATGATACCTAAGAGCAGACCAAACCATAAAACAAAAATATCCTGTAAAGACTCGAAAACGTGAGGAAAAGGAAACGCTAGCTACCGAGGTGTCGACGTAGCCATAGAAGGTACAAGTGACCTAATCAAATCTCACTTGCTCCTATCCAGACGAAGGGAAGCTGCACAGGAGCTGGACTAAATGGGGACCTGGCATGTCCTGTGGAGCATCCACACACCTCTCCTGAAATCTTATTTTCAATACTTTTTAGAGACACCGAAAGCGTCTATCCCAGTGTCCAGTGCGAAGCCTATCACAGAAGGAACTCAACGGAAATGAGCATTGAATGCCACCTCCTTTCTCTTCCACAGGGAGCACGTCGAGCAAAGTGTCCTTTGGAAATGCCGCTAGAGAAAAAGGAATAGGATCCCAGAATCAGAGAATTCACAGTATCAGTGAATTTATAGTTGACGACATTTATCTGGACCACCTTCTGAATTGTGACATGTACAATTATTTGATGAAGCAAAGAGAGAGAAAAAGAGACAGAGAGACAGAGAGCCAAATATCACTTTTTTTTTTTAAAGTTTCAATATTTAACTCAACTTTTTGGCCCAGGAGGGCAGCAGAACTGATTTTCTACCAAGGCTTCCTAAATTTTTTGGGATCAAAATTTTACCGTTGTTGGTTTACTAGATTATCTCCTTCCCCAAGAATGATCATGTGTAAAGCCTACTACAAATTCTTAGACAATTAAACCTATTTGTTTTGAATATTTGCAATTTTTTAAGGCATCTCAAGAATCACAAAACCAAGATTAGGATTCGCTGTTTTACTACATTGGGACATTTAAAAAATTCCTGTAGCAAGGGTAAAAAAACTAGCTCTTTTCTACTTATCACTCCAATAGACCCTCGCTTCCCATTGCAAGTATATTTGTGAGCACTAGGTATTTAGTTCTAGACTACAGGCTTTCCTAGGGATATGGTTTTTAGAAGACTGAAATAAAACGATCCCTGATTTTCTTGTCATTAAAAGCCTCTGTTTGCACACCATAAGCCTAAAGGGAGCGAAGCCAACTGGAGAGAAACATGCGCTACACAAAGAGCTTTAGCTCATGCTCTGGTCATTTAGACAAGATTTATGCCACAATTGATTTACACCGTGTATTGTAGTAAAGATAGTAATTGCTGCATTACAGTTTATAGACTCTCTAGGACCTCCGAAAGATATTCTTTTTAAAACACGACTGTACGCTAATAAGGCATTGGGCCATTACCGTTTTTGTTGTATATTATTGTTCACAAGGTATTTAAAAAAAGTGCAGTTGTTCTTTCCAGAGTTTTAATAATGCCCATCCTTCTACAGAACCATTTCATGGACCCTGTAAAATTTAATATTCTAAATATGGTGTGATGCTTGTGTGTACCAAGTGCTACATGCCACAGAGAAGCCAGAAATTCATAAAACCTGAGCCAGGCCCCCAAGGAGCTGGCCGTCTCCTCGGCTGTAAGTACAGATACGTAACCAGGTGGTATATGCAATGTGACCAGCCCTGATGTAATGATGACAGTACAGCGCGTCATGGGACGAGTGGGAACCTCATAAAGAGCTGTGCATTGACCACAGAGGTCTCTGAGAAGGCGTATTGATGAGAGGGTGCTGCGGGGGGCAGTGAAGGGTATCCCTGCAACACGGAGAGGCCTGCACAAAGGCACCGAGGCAGTGAGCAGCGGGGCTCTTGGAGAGATTGTGCATGGCTCAGGTTCGCTGGCGCCTGGAGCAGGATCCAGAAGTGCCATTAGATGGGGTCACAGCTAAGAGGGACCCGCATCTGAGAGGACCCGAAGTTTGTACTGAGATCTTTGCCTCAGACACTGCTTATGCACTCCTGGAAATTCATTTGGGAAGATATGTCTCTGGGACCCCAACCATTTTTTTTTTATTCCTACTGAGCTGCTATTCCAGAGACCAACTCTACACGGGTTCAGAATAGCTTTGGGCAGAGGAACACAGACGTGCCCTGGGTGCCTTCCCTGGGCACTCCTAGCCTCGTGTGTCGGGGGCAACTGAAGCAGGAGTTCGGCTCGCAGGCCCTTCCTGACGCTTCTGCATGTGCAACCCAGAAATGGGGGGGAATTCAAACCCATCCTTCGAGGACAGGCGTACAAAAGGATGTGTCGCTCCATAAATCCAGATATGCTAGATATGGAAAACCGAAAATCAGCCTAACAAGCTGGTAAATAAAATACATCCCATCATTCCTCTTCGATAGCAGTCTAAAAGACCAGTTTGAAACAAAAATTCTCAGGATCTTTGTAGTTTATGCGTCAGTTATCTTTGGCTTTCATAACACATTGCCCCAAAGTTAGCTTACAACAAACATTTATTATCTCTCACTATGGATGAGAAATTCAGAGGTGGCACAGGCAAGTGGTGCTGGCTCAGGTGTGTCATGAGGTTGTAGTCGTGGTGTCAGCCAGAGATGCCACTCTCTGACGGCCAGACGGGCCTGGAGGAGACACTGGGAAGACGGGCGCGCTCACGGGGATTAGCAGACGTTCTCGTTGCCTTTGCTGGGTTTTGGCAAGAGAACTCCGTCTCTTTGCCATTGGGCTACCTGAGTGTTCTCGTAGCATAGTAGGGCTTCTCCCTGAGTAGGCGATCCAAGAAAGGAGTTGGGAAGAAGCTACACTGCATTTTAGGTATTGATCTTAGAAGCCACATACCATCACTTCTTCCACAACCCATCGACTAAAAGGGAGAATGGAGAAATACCAAAGAATTTGTATATTTTTTGAATTTTGAACCACCATAACATAAAAACAGTGAGACTTAGTCCACAGTCATGACCCCCTCCCCTTCTTTCTCTACAGTTGCCTTGGTCCTACACTACAACTGGTGGTGTCATATATTACCTGTATGAACACCCAAATCACACACTGAAGCTTGGTCCACACACCCTACCAATAGCTGCTTCTCGGCCAATTCTCAAAGTCAGATGTGAAGACTCTATCCAGACACTATCCCTAACTCCAGAACAGACTAGAAGAGACCTGTGAAAGCCTTAGGAGAATTCTTGGAGCTATTAGAGCAGAGAATTACAGGGATCCAAGTACCCAAAATGTGGTCTAAAAAGGTAGGCATGTGGGGCACCTGTGGGGTAGCTCAGTGGTTGAGCATCTGCCTTCAGCTCAGGTCATGATCCAGGGATCCTGGGATCAAATCCCGCATTGGGCTCCCAGCAGGGAGCCTGCTTCTCCCTCTGCCTGTGCCTCTGCCTCTTTCTGTGTGTCTCTCATGAATAAATAAATAAAATCTTTTTAAAAAATAAATAAAAATGAAAAGGTAGGCATGCATTCTACATGGCAAGCATTCTAGGTGGTCAAGTGCCCTAAGTACCATAAATTTCTCAACTTTTGGTGAAGATGTGATCAGGGGAGGATGCAAATGGTGTGGACCCTATAAAATTCAGGGCCCAGAAAAGATCCTCTTATCCTGTAACTATGAGCAGTTCTGGGACAAATTTTGACCAACGGAATGCAAAAAGTAGAGGACAAACTCTCCTCCCTTTATTCCTCTGGAAGAATGGCCCTGAAATCCATAATTCACGAAGCCTTTGAAATCCATGAAGTTAAGAAGACAGTTCCTCTGGATACTAAAATGTAGTTAGCTTTCACTCTGTAAAAGAGAAAACACAGGCCCCAAATAGTACTACTTGGATTAGGTCAGCAAACCAAGACTTAATACCTAACCCTGCTGCCATTTCAACTCTCCACCAATGTAACTTTTAACCAGTCAACGTGGAATTTCCTGGTCAATACTAGGAAGTTTACTGTTAGACTCCTTCCACTCTCCTTAGGAGGGCAACCCTGCCTAAACAGTGCATTTCTTGCTAATAAATTCCTTTCTCAACCCCCCAACCCCCAATTGAATGTAGTAGTGGAAAATACAAGGACACGTAATCCATTCTTCTAGGCAGATGGCAAGTTTCCCAGAGGAAATAAGAAAGACTCTTTGTTGTAAAACCTGGCCATCAATGCCCGTGTCCCTCTATTACTCACATGCAGTCCCCTTCTCCTTTTCCATCCATATTTACTGTGTGTTATAATTTCTGATGTGCCAAGTTTTCTAACTCCCATTTTGTTTCTTTGATCTGAAATATTTATGTGCTGCCCCCAAACCCCACAGACTAATTTCAGTTTCTCTGCAGAAGATTCTACAAAACTGGACAGAGGCCATGCCATAGAGGAATTGGGATGCCAACGTAAGGTGCATGGACTTTATCCAGAGGGATGAATCGAATTGCAAGATTAGATTTGCACTTTAGGAAGAGTTTCTGGCTGCGATGCCGTGGACGGAATGCAAGGAGGTAAGCCTGGAGGCAGAGACAGCAGTTGAGAGCCTGGAACAATAAGCCAGGTCAGAGAAGACTACTGGCAGTGGAGAAGTGAGCTAAGATGAGCTTAATGGTCACACCCAGTTTGTACCTTTGGAATCTGGTTAGATGTTGGATGATTTAATGAGGTTTGCATTGCCAGATGAAATATTTCCATTTGCTAAAACTGGCAATCCTCACTGAGGTAGGGAACACAGGAGAAATAATTAGTTTCTGAGAAATTCTGAAAGAAGTCCGTATCATCTCCACCCCCATTCTAAGATGTGAAGATCCCTAGGAATTGACTTCAGGTTAGGAAATTTGGGGAGTCTAGGGTTATAGTTACTCATTTCTTTGCATTTTAGCCAACTCAGTACAAAAAAGAGTCAACAAAAAATTAAAATATTGCTTCTGTTTATTTTATGGAATAGTATATTATAGTACGGAGTAACTCCAAAAGTATAGACACCCTAAGGAAAGCGGTTAAGGCCTGCAACAACAACAACAAAATCGTTCTACTTATCCAATTTTTCACTCCCTGGACATTTATTTACCCCATCTGTTTCAAGTGTAGACTTTAGAACAAGTCACACAGAATTAGATCTACAAAGAAAATACCCTTCCAGAGGCAGAGAATATGGATCTTATTGCTGGTAAGACCAGTAGAGAAAGAAGGAAAACACATCCACACCCAATCACCCATATCACCCATAATCTATACTTACTATCGAAAGATTACTAGAATTACGATGTAGATAATATTTTGATAAACGAAAAAAGGACTGGAGGAAGAGAGAACTTCTGGGATGGATAAATATCATTCAGAATAAAATAAAACAGTAGGAACAGAGAGTATGGTGAAGATTTGTTACAGGCAGGATTGGCAGGACTCCACATGTTGTTTAGAGGACAGGGAAGTGTCAACTGGTGTGCCAAACCTGATCTATGGGTGCAGTTGGCAGTCATTAAGAAAAGTAACATATGAGAAAGTGTTTGGGATTGGAAGATAGAAGTCCATTAGTTCCGGGACGCTTGGGGGGCCCAGTGGTTGAGCGTCTGCCTTTGGCTCAGGTCATGACCCCTGGGTCCTGGGATCGAGTCCTGCATTGGGCTCCCTGCATGGAGCCTCTTCTCCTTCTGCCTGTGTCTCTGCCTCCCTCTCTGTGTCTCTCATTAACAAATACATAAAATCTTAAAAAAAAAAAGGAAGTCCATTAGTTCCTATGGCACCTGTTGCATTTGAGGTGCATCAGGGGCAGCCAAGTGAAGACATCCAGGTGACTGATGGCATGTGATTGTAAAGGTGTGTATGTCTGTACCTCTGTGTGTGTGAGCGTATGTACAGTCTGGAGGGTGTGTATGATATATATTTATATGAAATTTGGAGGTCAAGTGAGTGAGTGGTGCAGAGATCAATCCAGGAGAGTAACAGATGTCGTAGAATAGTTGAACCAAACAGCAGCATATTGAACTCTGTTTCTCCATGAGAAGCTGTTCAGATGAAAACTTGATTTCTTGCCCTTGATAGAGATATGAATGAGCATTTTCCACAGTTATGTCCAGGAAGGCATAAGCAAAATTCCCAGGAAGCCTCTTTTTCTCTTTCCTCCTTTATAATATCCAACTTTGGGACCTAATGCTTGAACACTGAGATGTGTACTCTAAGGAAAAAGAACCAGAAGCTAAGGATGGCAGGAAAGAACAAAAAAAAAGAAGAAGAAGAAGAAGAAGAAGAGAAGAAGAAGAAGCATTTGAGAGGGTGCATCAGCCCTGCCGTCAGCTTATAGGCTTTATAGGACGTAATAAAAATAGTAATATCAACAATGCCATCCTCCTGTTACTCAAGCAGCAGTAGCTGAGGTGTCTGTAGGGAATGCATTCCTGACTGTCGTAGATCATTAGAAAGAGACAATGATTGAGGCCCTAGCAGCAGATGATTTGGCCCAGAGTTACAGAGAAGATGAGAAGAGGACCTAAGGCAGGATCACGTAGAAGCTAATATTCACGGAAGGAAAGCCGAGAGGAAAAATATTAAGAAGGAAGAAGCAGATGTAAGAGAAAACTAGTCAAACGTGGGACGGCTGGATCCAAAGATGAGAGTATTAATATGAATCGGAGAAGGTTCCAGAGAGTCAAACGATGCAGGGAGCTCAAGAAAGAAAATTCAAAGCCGCCATGTAAATTCATCACTTAGTAGTTTTCTGATGACCTTGGAAAAGGCAGTTTCAGTGAAATACAAGCAGAGGAAGCCACTTCACAGTAGGGGGTGGGGGGTGAGGAAATGGAAATAAGAGCGGACTTATCTCTTTCAAATGTTTTTCTATGAAGGTGAAAAAGAAATCAGTAGCTGTCGGGCAATGTGGGCTTCTTGAGGATTGTAAAAGTCATTGTTGTCAGTGGCATGGTGTTTATTGCGTATTTCAAGGTATTTCAGTGATGATGGAAAGGGCTCTAAGCAGATGAGACCCCCAGCATGAGGACGGAAAACGTTGGCATTGATGTCACTCTGCTCTAAGATGCCACAGGAAACCGAGGGGACTTCCTGTCTAAGACGTACTAGGAGGAGACATTTGGAAAGAATAGCCAGAAAGTCAGAGAAACGAGCAGTGTAAAAAAGATTGAGTCTTGAAGGAGAGTCTTGAAAAATCTGCTGACAAATGGAAATTAAATTTCTGGGTACAGCTGAGAGGTTGATTAAAATTGGAGAGTGCAGGGGCGCCTGGGTGACTCAGTCGGTTAAGCCTCAGCCGACGCTTGGTTTCAGCTGAGGTCATGATCTCACGGTTGTAAGATCAAGCCCTGCATCTGGCTTCACTCTCCGCAGGCTCTGTCTTCACTCTCCGCACGCTCTGTTTGACTTTCTCTCCCTTGACTCCTCCCCCTGCATGTGCTTCTGTGAGACCTCTCTCTATATATATTTTTTTCTTATTTTTTTTAATTTTTATTTTTATTTATGATAGTCACACACACACACGAGAGAGAGAGAGGCAGAGACATAGGCAGAGGGAGAAGCAGGCTCCATGCACCAGGAGCCCGACGTGGGATTCGATCCCGGGTCTCCAGGATCGCGCCCTGGGCCAAAGGCAGGCGCTAAATCGCTGCGCCACCCAAGGATCCCTATTTTTTTCAATAAATAAATAAATCTTTGAAAAAAATTGGAAAACACAAAATTGTCACAGCAACACAAAATTGTCACAGGAACTATCCCCCATGATTATAAAATTTTCTTGATCAGCAAATACTCCCCCGAATGCAGAGAAGAAATGATGGGACCCACCTGCGCCGGCGTTCTGCAGTCCAGGCCGAATGGGAGAGAGCAAAGGAGCAATCCCGCTGAGAATCCTGTAGGCGAGGGAAAGTTGGCATGATGCGTACATGGGACAGGAAGGACGGGTCTGGTGGATGATGAAGGAGAGGCGTTGAGACATGACGCCATGGGAGTCACAGTGGGTTAGAAGAATAGATGCAGTGGGATCAAAGCGAGGGAGACAAGAGGACAAATGAAAGTGTGGTCAGGAAGGTGAAGATTTTTAAGGTAAGATTTTTATGTTGTATGAAATACAACATAGTAGTAAAAAAAAAAAAAAAAAGGAGACAAGAAACTTCTTCGTAGGAGTCCTGCTGCAGCAGGCTCTGCTTGTCCAGGGATTGAGCAAACTCCATCCTACTTTCTACTTACGATTGATTGAAAATCTGCTACATGATTTTCCTTCACCAGCTACAAGTGAGAAAATTTGAGGTATATCTCGGCTGTTCCGCGTCTACAAACCCAAACAGTTGAAAGAAGTGATTCCCCCCTTCCCCCCCCCCAAAAAAAGAAGTGATTTCCCAGAAGTATTTAGTTACTAATCTACTGATCGTATTTCACGGGTTTTTCCTCATTTTTTGATTAAATGATTGTTTCTCAGATTGGCTTGTAGATGTGCACGGGTTCACGTGAAGCATTCCCGAACAATCCATTTTTGGCTTCACGTAACCTTGAAACAGCTTATTTGGCCCCCTGCAGACAAAACAGCCTGACGGTTTTTGACTCGGATGTTTTATTGTCTTGTCGTAGAATGACAGCCTCAGAACTCTCTCCCCAACACTTGGTTTCCCCCAACGCTTTCTCCTAATTACTGATAAGCATAATCAAACAGAAAAGCAGTTGGAGCCCAGCAAGACTGTTGCTCCTTCTATCAAGCCAAGTTCACCCAGGAATAATTGCTGTTCTGACAACTGCTAGAGCTTTCCTTAACCCCCTACAGTGACCTCTCCAGCATCTGACTTCTCCAGCATCACCAAAATGTATTATCTTTCCATGAGAAAATCATTGATTTGTGAACATGCGGCCAATCTAAGCTTGTTTGAAAGTCAGGCAGGGGGATGGCCTTCATTTTCACTTATTACGTACCCAACGTTTTATCAACGCAGCTACATCAAGACCTACAAATTATGTGTCAAGGGGGGAAAGATCCACAGGATATGCCTTCCTGGGATTTTTTTTTTTCTTGCTGTGCGTCTGTTGCTTTGGGAATTCACAGACTAAAAGCAAATGACAGGTGGGCATCCTACTTGTAAGACTCAGTCAACTCTTTCCATAAAGAAGCTTGGTACTGATGCTTGGTTAGTTAAACTTTGGCAAACGATGCAACAAGCATTTGTCAGGCCCTTAAAAGCACTTTTGAAGAGTTTTTTCCCTTTATAAAGGTGTTAGGTTGTTGCCAACAGATTGAAGGTCTAAGCATCAAACATTCTGAATTTCACCACAAATCATGTCGAACTGTCAGATGCTTAGGTTTCATATCCGATGTACAGAGCCTAAATCGTACATACTAAATATCAGCTTTTTTAAGTATTTGCATTCCGCAGAAAATGTCTACTTTTCTGCTTTGCTTTGCTTTATCAGCAAAGCTTTAGCCACAGTTTTGTATGTCAGAGTGAGATTTGTCCACGTTTCTGCTTTTGTCAGAGATTTTCAAGTATTAAGTGAGAACAACTTTAAAATAGTTTAATTATAAAAAAATAAAAATAAAAAATAAAATAGTTTAATTATATACCTAATTTGGTGCTTCAAAAATTCTCTCCGCAGAATGTCCTACAGTTGACCCTTGAAAATGCCGGGTTGGGGATCCCAGGGTGGCTCAGTGGTTGACCATCACCCAGGGCGTGATCCCAAAGTCCCAGGATCGAGTTCTGCATCAGGATCCCTGCATGGAGCCTGGTTCTCCCTATGTCCCTTTTTCTCTCTTTCTCTCTCTATGAATAAATAAATAAAATCTTTAAAAAAAAGAAAATGCTAGGGCTACCAACCCCCACATGGTCAAAAATCCAGGTCTAACCTTCCACTCCCCCAAAGCTTAACTACTAAGAGCCTACTGTTGACCGAATGCCTTAGCGACAACACAGTCAATTAGCACGTGTTTTGGGGTGTCCTGCGTATCATATGCAGCATTCTTCAACAAAGGTACGCTAGAGTAAAGAAAATGCTGTCAAGACGCATACATAGACAGCACTGTATCACGAGACCGTCTGTGTGCGAGTGGGCAAAGGTCAAGGCCATGTTGTTCAAAGGTCAACTGCGTTTAGCATTCCCTTCTGCTCTTTCTCACGGGTGCTACTTTTATACTTTGCTCTCCTACCTGCTTAGGAGCCACGTCAAAGAATGTGTATTTGAATTTTGTTTCATCTGAAGTTAATCAAAGGAAATTATCTAGCCCCCTTTCTTAAAATGTATTTTAAACACACAGCCTAGTTTCAGAACGACAACTTAGAAGACTGTGGAGTTTCCCTATCGAAGACCCTAGCTGTTGGGTGGCTTTCCACCCTGGATGATCTGTGTCGGTGTTTTTACAGCATCAAAGGTCTGCACCAAATAGTGAGTCAACCCTTCTGTTTGGGACTAAGGAAGATTTTTTTTTTGCTCTAATCAAAGAGGATCCACCATAGTCTATGCACTTGAAATAGCAGGTTGTATTTAAGGTGCTTTTGTATAATTCCCATAAGGAAATAACCCCATTTTTTTTTTTTTACTTTTATACAAATCAGCACTCTCTAAAATCCTTATTGGGAGAGGATCTAAAAACAAAAGTAGGAAAAAAATTTAAAATCTCCATCAACCTGAATGAGAAAAACAATACCCCCCCATCCCAATTCTGAGTCCCTTTGCCAACCAAGTAGATAAGGGGCGAGCTCCCTCTCTGCGCCTCTTCAGTCTCCGTGCGCCCGGAGATACCCCAGAGCTTTCAATCAATAGCCTCCCAAATTCCAGGAGCAATTACTTCATTCTCACGGGGCTGTAAGAGGGGTGAAAGGTCTTTAAGATCTTCCACTCGCAAGTATGATGTGAATTCATAAAGCTCGCATCGGTGGCAGTTGTGACTCCGCTTGCTCTTTGTTTACCAGTTACCCACTGAAAGATGCAAAATAGAAGACGACACAATACAAAGCGAGCCACTCAGAGGAATTAGCCCGTTTGCCCAAATCTTTCCCTGGGAAATGCACACTGGGAAAACGACCAACACAGACTGACTGTGTTTATCCTTACCTCCTTGCCTCTAGGGAATTAAAACTGTCACCGTCGTGCGTGAAGAGACACTTTCAAGTCGTGCGTTAAGTCAGAGTCTTGATGCGTCTCTAAGGGAAACACAGCCCATTAGAAAACGCACTCACTTTTTAGAGACTACAAGCAGCATATTCCCAATTTTGTCGTTTGGCAGAAAAATGAAATATTTTTCTCCCCTTCTTCAGCAGCAAGGAAAACCCAAACGTTTTTCTCCGAACAAAACAAGTGAAGACCGTTGTAGGTTGTGTTTCTGTTAGGAAAGAGCTTGCAAGCATCAGACATCAGGTATTTTGAGTGACTCTACAGTATGATAATATGCATATAAAATTTACACTCTGCTCAGTTCTTAAAAAGCATTAATAAGGGGATCCCTGGATGGCTCAGCAGTTAAGTGCCTGCTTTTGGCCCAGGGCATGACCCCGGAGTCCTGGGATCGAGTCTCGAATCGGGTCCCTACGGGGAGCCTCCTTCTCCCTCTGCCTGTGTCTCTGCCTCTCTCTGTGTGTCTGTCATGAATAAATAAATAAAATCTTAAAAAAATAAAATAAAAGCATTAATAAGGACTACCTGCCTTTGGCGGGGAGGGGGCTGTTTCCAGAACTGTGCTTCGTAGAGAAGCACGTCACGGCAATGTCCTATGATCTTGCCATCACCATTAACTAAGTGAGACACGAGGTTTAATCTATATGAGAATTTTGATTGATCATGACTATTTATAAACAGCTAGTGAGGTTTTTTTGCATTTCATTTTACAAAAATCATTTACTCCTGGACAACCTACAGAACTGCGCTTACTGGATGTGCTCGGACTCCCGGTAGCTGCCTTCCTTTAAGCTCGCGGCAGTTTTCCCTAAGAGAGTGAGCATCCCGCTCCCCACCCTTCGCCCTGTGAGACAGCTGACGTCCCTGATCCCTGACGTCCCGCATCCCCATCACAGGGCCCTGAGGGACTGGGGGAGCTCCTCCCTCACCACAAGTAAGCCGTGACATTACTGATGTCTCCACAGAAGCCTTAGGAGAGCCTTCAAAAGACGGAGCTGCTGAATATTTAACCCAGACTGATGGCCACTCCCGGATAAAGCAATTAGCAAATTTATTAGTCAGTGTTCAGTCTGCATGGCTGTTTTCACAGATAAATCTTGGTGAGCCTCTGACTTCTATGTTCCCAGGTTAAAGCAGCAGCGACATGAGCTCTCTTCAGTGGGATGCAAGGTCATGACACCCTGGACCGCCTACATACATCAGGAGCACCTCTCGAGCTACTAGTGACCTCCATCCAATTGGTGTATTTTAATGAAAACAAATGGTTTGCATCAATAACAAAAAGCATGAGCAGAACCATCCTTCATGGACACCTTTGTCACTCTCTCCCCATCTAGACACTTATTAACGGTTTGACCTTTATAGCCGATGTTTTATTGTCCTAATATCTTATGACTCAAGAACCTCGTGCTGTTTAATAAGCCAAATCCAATGAGAGGGGGGCTTTGGCCGCTTATCTTTAATATCAACATGATCTTTGGTGACCATGTCATTCTAAGAAACTGTTAAATATAGAGATGGAACTACAGGAGATACAAACAAATTAATCCCTCATATTGCATCTTTTTTTTTTTTTGCAAAAATGGGATCAAGAGGAGCATCCACTGAAATAGCAGCACCGAGCTATGGGGGGATGGATCCCCGAGATACCAAGTGTGGGCCCGGCCGCTCAGTGTAGGAGGACAGTGTGGGTGTAACGACAGGGAGCTTGTTGGAAGCCCACGGCTTTCAGATGTCTTCCTTGGGGTTCTCATTGGCCCAGAATCACAACTATTAGAGCTGTAGGGACCCAAGACAATGGGTGCTCAGGGTGTCTGCTATAACCCTGTGCAGATAAGATGGTTCCCCTTGAAGAGGGGTTCCTTAGTGACTAACCCCACGCCCAGAATCAGAGGAGTGTCCTATGCGCTCCGCCTGGGAGGATGACAAGGCTGATGCCGCAGGTAGGAGGTGCGAGGGGAGATGGGCCAAGGAGGGAGACAGCTGGCCGGGGGCACCTGCGTCTGGGCCCTGCGATCCACACCCAGGACCCCACCTGGTAGCTGAGGGCGGGCGAGCAGGCGCTCCCGGAGCTGGAGCCCGGGCGGAACCCAGGGCCTGTGTCCAGGCAGGTAGACACAAGGTCAAGGGCGATGTATGGTGTAAGAGACAAACACTGAGTTCCAAAAATAAAGGTCAGATTACATAATTCATTTTTCCTCCACAATAAAATGAAGCTTGTTGGAAGGAGTATTGCGATGAGCCTCTTGACCAATAAATCAAACTACATTTTACTGGGAAACAGAAATCGGAAGGCTTACTCTTCTCTGCATCATTTAAATTGCGGGGCAGAAATAAAATGATTCATTTTCAAGTGTGTAGGACAGATAGCTGAAAGCTCTACTACACATAAAAAAAATACATAATATATTTGAATTATATTCACTATCAAGGGAGTGTTGTCTGGAAGTTTCATATGTTAAATATGAGTTTAATTTGAGCATTTCCATTTTTCCAATTTAGGTTGAGATAAGTGCTCTTATGACAACTTATGTTAATGAAGCTAAACCCCAAAGAGTTTATTCAATGAACCGAGAAGCAGTGAATTTCTCCATGAGGGAGATGATGTCATAAACGACACTGATTACCATTGCTTTCTCTGGTGTCTGGAATTTTACTGGTTATTTGTCTAAGTGCATAATAATTTTTTAGCATTCCTGAATTATTTATTAAATGCATGTTGACTTCCACGGATACCTATCATGAGGCATTGCCCGGGATTTCACAGCGATAATCTCAAATCACACTGGAAATTGAGACACAGATGCTGATTTACACGGTTCCTAATACATTACCTCTTGTTGCCTTTGAAGAGTCCATTTCTATAAGCAAAACCCTACACTCAGAAGCCATAAAAGTGGTGACTGCTGCACAGTGGAGAGTCAGCCTATTAAACGCTGATGTTAGAATCAGCGTCATCTGCCCTCAGAACCGACTGCAGAGATTCGAGATCACAAAGTCCCCATTCTCCTGGTGCCTCATGTCCAACGAGAAAACCTGATGATAAAAGCCAATATTGCCAAGTGATAATATAATCGAACAGGACACACGTTGTATCATACATACATAAAACGTACGTCGAAGACCCTTCAAGGCCACCCAGTATAGGTTGGTGGTAGTCCACCAATTTGGTTTTTGACAATAAGGAGATAGTCGTCCTACAGTAGAAGAGCCCTTTGTATCTTGAGGATGGCTTCGGAGCATGGAAAGGGAGTATCTGACATTTTAGACAAGCAAGTGGTAGCAGAGAGGAGCACTTAAATCTGGTGGTATTCATTTCCTTAATTTTATTTTGCATCTATGTTTGCTCTCCACCTTCGCCGACAAGCTTTCAACTTTTCCTTGAGAAACTAATCTAATAAATCGATTCTGGGTCAGAAAAGAGAATATAATTTCCATTAGGAGGGAAAAAATGGGTTAGCAACAGGGAAATAATGTTCAACAAGGTTTCTTATTTTCTACTTTAGCTTCTAAAAAGAATTAAAAAATAGCTCTTCTTTGTTACCGGCTTTTCCTCCAGAGAAGAGTGATCTTTAGCCTCTTGCAGATTTAAGGGTTAGGGTAAAGCCAATACCCCCTCCCAGGGAAAAAGCCAGCAGCTGATTTTTCTGGAAGCTCAGCGACAACGGTGCTGTAGGCATCCTACCTGGGGAGAGCGCAGTGAATCCTGACAGCGCCTAGAAGCCCCGGGGGTCTACAGAGCTTTCATCTCAGCCTCCGTTTCTCTGTGAGCCACTCACATGAACTGTTCCTTTCTGTGCCAAAAACCCGCTCTTGGGGACTTTGGCCTTCCTGCTTGTTCAGGCTCAACTAACGAAAGTAAGACCATTTTGTAGATTTTGACAGTTTTTAGACATCTAGCTGCGGATGCTTGAGCTGTAAAACTGAACACAAGTACATGCTTTGCACGGTGCAAATACGACCTGCTGCTCCAAATTATCATTAAGACACCAGGATTTTCTAGTGAACTGTATTCTTCTTAAAATCTGGATAGTTTATCTTTTGAGAGTTGATGGCTGCTTTTATTTAGTAAAAATAATCTCCTTTGTTCCATTTCCTTCTATCACATTATTCAAGGTAATAAACACTCTGTGGCAGAAAATGTTCCTAAGGGAAGCCTGTTTAAACCCAATTGGGAAAATGCTGAACTTTATATATTCTAAAGCTCTCTATCATCCAATGTTGTACTGTCTTGGCTTATTCCTGTGAATTATATGTTTCTTTGTATCAAAAAAAAAAAAAAAAAAGCACTAGGCCAAAGCCTACTTGGGAGCATGCCACATTTTATGTATTGATTGGGAAATTTGAGCATTTTGCCAAATCTTGATATGTTTTTTTTAAATGTCAGGCTTAAAAATATATAAAAAAAATAAAATAAAATAAAATAAAATAAATAAATAAATAAATAAATAAATAAATAAATAAATAAATAAATATCAGGCTTAACAGAATGTAGATTTTCCCAGGCAGGATGAAAGATGAAAATGTACAATTTCACACTTCCTAAAGTCCCTTAGTTTGCAGCTTTTCTGGTCATTAACTATTCCTTGCTGACCTTTACGCTTTCACCCTGGGTGTAAATGGACAGTGAACTGGAAAACCCACGGTTTGCATGATAAAAATTAACTTTACACATAGGAGTGAAGAACTCATGATCACTATAGGGGCGCTTCTTTTTTACATCCCATATGAATTGGTACTTTTGATCACAAAGTTGTGAATAACATATTCCATAAATTAAATACAAAATCAAATCCTTGACTGGGATAATGAGACCACCAACCAGTTAAAAGAATAAGCACGTGCATTTTTACAGTAGTATAGAGATTAAAACTAAAAGCAAGTTAATGTTATTGAAAGGGACACTCCACTCTCTGAGTTAATTGCCTACTGTCTCCCTTAGTCTTGTTTTCACAAAATCTTGAAAATCACAAGGGTGAAATAAAGCATAATAGAGTGAGCGCTACCAGAAGCAAAGCCCAGGACTGAGAGTCTTTAAACCATTTGCAAATGTAGGGTGATCTCATCCCCCATTTTAAAGTTTTACAGTGTGAATGTGAAGCTGCTATTTGTGTCTGAAAAATTCACTTTATATCAATTTAGGATGTTATAGTTGCAAAGAACATGAGAGGTTACCTAATCCAAAAACAATTCTCCAATTCTCTACAACATATTGCTCTCCTTAGATTAACAGAATATATCATGTTATTCTTCGACTCACAGTTTATTAAAAAGTAAACTTTAAAGGTCAACATAGTGGCTCTAATCCTTTATCAAAGCAAACAAAATATTTCTGACACTCTGGAAACCAAAATTTATTGGTCAAAAAAATGAGGTATCCTATTCACTTGGAGGAATGAACAAATGCAGCTACCAAAGGAAATAATTAAAAATAAAGACATAATAAAGGATGAAATTTTTTTAGCTTAAGACATATAATAAAGGTTAAATAGTTTCATATTATGGTACCGATCTACATAGGGACAGATAAGTGATTAACGGAATAGTACAGAAAACACAGACTTTATAGAATGTAATACAATTGAAAGGAGGAAATAAAAATTGAAATTTGTTATGTGAAATTGTTTTCAGTAATTGAGATTAGTGATATAATTACATGGAATATGTTAGATAAGAAAAAATTCAATCCAGTGAATTTTAAAGTCTAATTGGCTTAACGGACTGTTTCATGAATGGGGCAGGTTTCTGTCTAGAAAGTAGAGCGAAGCTTCCGATGGATATGGAACAAGAAGGTTTTTAGAGAAACCGAGGGAACGGATAAAAGGAAATTATTAGCAAAGAATCCACTGTCTTAGGCAATGTCACACTCCTAAAAGGAACAGAAGTCTATCAGTAAATTTTCCAGTGCCTACCAGAAAATTCCCATGTTGACTGGTTAAAGGTTACATTTCTGGGGAGTTGAAACTGCAGGTAGGTCAGATATTAAGTCCTGGTTTAAGACTTAGGGCTTTAACCTAAGTGACACCAGTTTGGGCCAAAAACCAGTGGGTTTTGTTGTTGTTGTTGTTGTTTTAACAAAACAATATACAACTATCTCATACATAAAATTAAATCACAGAAGGATTGAAAATTTTAGGTTAAATCATCATTCCAGTCATTATTATTCCAGTCATCTCTAAAGTTAGAGGCATAAAACTCGTCGATATTTGGGGCTTCGTTGGGAAGACTGGACACAACAGACTGTGGCTCGTCAACCAGGGGATAGAACAATCTGGACATCTCTATTACCATGTCTGACTCTTGACTGAGACCTCAGCTCACCCCGTGTGTGGTTTCTTCAGAGGGGCTGGGTTTCCTCAGAGTATGGCAACTCAGGGTGGTTGGACTTCTTCCGTGGAGGCTCAAAGCCAAAGATCAAGTGGTCCAGCAGGTTTCCCATTGGCTTCCATGACCTGGTCTCATAATTCACGTTGCTGCATTTTTGCCACTTTTTATTGTGAAGTAGTCACGAGCCTGCCCAAGTTCAACAGGAAGGGATGTGGATTGCCACCGCGTGATGGGAGGGTAGCAAGGTCATGGTGTAGGGAACACACGGCACGGAAGGCACTGCTGCAGCAATCTCTGGAAAGGACAGTGTGAAACAGTATCAACAGGAGAAGTGGAAACGGGAACAGGCATCTGTCATACTGTTGGAGGCTTAAAAACAGGAGAAAGACGGAGGCCGTGTACACGTGTGTTCAAAGACCCACGACTTCCACCGCTGGAAATGTCCTCAGGTGAAATGCATTTACCAAACGACACACAAGAGAATGGTCCTAGAATCCTATTTTTTTAATAGTCCAAAATTGGATATTCCTTTTGAGAAATAGCCTCTGGATTGGTACTGAGCATTTGGTGAAGACCGAACACTTATCCTCAGAATGACGTGAAGCCGGTGCCGCCCACACTGAACTGGGACGAGTCAGATCCCCTCCTCCATAGGGCTAGTCATGCGTAGGCACAGGCCGACAAAACAGAGATGGTATATATGGGATGTTGGGTCTGAATGGTGTGAGTAATTGGCGTGAGTGGATCACTGAGATTCCTGTGAAGTGTATTGCTACCACCTCTCGGCCCACATATGTGGCCTCACGGGGGTTCCTATGACCAGGGAGAGAAAAACATGACTTGGTTTACAAATGTTGTTGCCGTATAAGTGAGATGGCGCCAGCCTAAAGTGCGATACTACTGACTTACCTCCCAACTCAAAGGTGATGGAGGAAAACAATAGCGGGGAGGGTCCCCGTGGACCCCCACAGAGAGACTTGGAGTGTAAGTCTGGGAGTCATTTTTGTCCAGAAAGAAAAATGATCAAAATCGTGGTATCTCATTCATAAATAAACCTTCCATAACTAAGCAATGCCTGCTGCTGGGAAGGCTCCAACAAGGGACATGGGTGAGTCAGCCCCGCTCCATCTCACTGCACCGGGTGGGCCAGACACAGACAGCAATGCAGCAGAGATGTCATGAGCGGGCCCAGCAGCACGAACTTCTCCCCAAAGCTGATCCGTCTACACAGCTTGGCATGCAGGCTGCCGAAAGCAGAAGTCAAATCCTGCCACCCTCTATGCCATTTCCCATGTGGCCCTGCCAACTGTCTGATGGCAACCTGTTAACCTGGAAAATTTGTGTTCTTGGGGGTAGGGGGGGGCGGTAATATTTCCTCCCTGGAAAAGCACCTACTCTGGGTGCAGATTTGCCTTCGCTGCCTTCCAGGTTTCTGCCACCATCGTCACCCAGGACTTACGGAGTCACTTCATCTGCCATCACAGAGCGCTTCATGCACAGTGCCTCTACACAGGAAAGGTGCTGAGGGGCCTAAGACCATAGAATTTACTGATCTTACCTAATATCTCATTGCCCAAAGACAAGTGACCTAGCGGAAAAATGGAATGCATATATCAAAGCTGTGAGCGTGCCAGCTGGAGGAAAACACTGCAGAATTGGAGTGTTGCCCTAGTGGACGCAAAGTACCCCATGATCCAGGATCAGTTTCTCCCACAGGCAGAGCACAATGGATTTTGATCCCGGGGCTGGAGGTAGGACGGATTCCTGGCACAACTGGAACTCTTAATTCACGTCAAGGGTTCCAAAACCCTAGTTCTCATGGGAGGAAGGCTTTTTTCCCTAGGGGTCATAATAATGTTTCCATTACACCGGACACTGAGGCAACCATGTGGGACTCCCCTTGCTCCAGGACCAGCAGGCTACAAGGAAAATGAACTATTGTGAGGTTGGCCATCGCCAAGGAGAAATAAGGGAGTTGCTCCACGGTGAGACGAGAAGGGAGATGATTATGTCTGGAACACAAAATATTCTTTAAGGCAGCCCTACCACTTCCAGGGAAGTTTCATGGAAGACTGTAGAAGTCAGATAAAGGCAGGAGTACGAGGACTCCAAGCCTCAAGGACCCACGTCCAGGTCAGGAACTCGGCCCTTCCCACCAACATAAACTGGCTTCTTGTTGTATCCAAGATCGAGCAGGACCTCGGCTTGCCTTTCTCAAACTGGATGGATGAAGAATCAGCCGTCGCAGAGCTCTCATGTTCCTTAGGCAAAAAACTCATTCCTCGGCCTTACACCGTGCCTTGAAGTCGGCGTCCTGGGCCAGAACTTTGTTTCATGTTTTGTAAATGCCCTTCTGTGTTTGTGGGCTTTGTAGGGGATACAGAAGGGGCAGCAAGATGAGTGATAGGAATCAGAGACCAA